CAAAGGGCAGCGCTTCTCGTGTATGCGCAGTGGGCAGCCGGCTGTCACAGAAGTCTCTGGTCATCTCCTGTACTGCGTCCGCAGTCTCTGGTCATCTCCTGTACTGCGTCCGCAGTCTCTGGTCATCTCCTGTACTGCGTCCGCAGTCTCTGGTCATCTCCTGTACTGTGTCTGCAGTCCATTGGTTCAGAATATTTTTTGGCACAATCAGCAAGAAAACTAAAATAGCCCCCACATCTATGTAATGGTAAGCGGCAATAGTATAATAAATTTAGCAGTAGCTTAGCATTCGCTTCATTGATGCAGATGTTTACAGCTATAAAAGCAGTTACCTATTTATTTTATTTATTTATTTTTTTAAAGTATAATATAATTTTTTATTCTTTTACCATATCTAGTTCATTTTCCCTTTTTTGTGCTTTTTTTGTTAATAGCACAACTGAAAGTCCCAAAAACATTATTTTAATAAATCATCATACTGGTGAGTATGCCAAGTTTGGAGTTTAAGTTATACCCTTTATTTGAAAACTGAGGGTTATTAAAGATGCAAACTTTCAGAACCAGTTAGTTTTTTCTTTCCTCAGGCAATATACAACTCTGAAAATGTTCTGAAACTACATATTTATATGTATTTATATTTATATGTATTTTATACATTTTGTGTTTTATAGCAAATCATTGCAGGAATTCATTACAATTACTTGATTTTTGGGATGTTGGGATTACACCTAAATGGTCTTGTTTTTAGAATTAATTTACATTCGGGCAGTGCCTATTTCTGTAATGAAATCACGCATCCCAATAACCGGAAGTGGTCCATCTGAACGCTGAGACCAGCATTGTTGTACATAAGCTTTATGGATTTACACTATGTTCCTACTCCATTCTTTTTCATTTTTACCCTCATCAACTCTGCATGTGTTTCTGAACTTTTGAATTTATTTTATCCATTCAACATTTCTAAGAATGTCCATCCTGTCCTCTTATGAATGAAAGTTCTTCCATAAGGCAAAATATATTCTACTCTCCTAAGTCAGTCTTTCATTGAAGGACACTCCAGCGAATTCTATTGCTTTGGAATAAGCCCTTTTGCTGCTTTTAATAGATAGTAAATAAGTAATTTCTTATATTGCGTTATTGAGTATCCAGTACTGCGAAACAAATACACCCATGGATCTTTGGGAGGACCATCCCTGCTTATGTCCTGTATTGACTGTGCAACCCATTTCCAAACTTCCTGTATTTTCGAACACTCCCGCCAAATATGCATCATAGTTCACTGTGCATTATAATAGTGCTTTGGGGCCTATTGTGCACTGAACAATTTCTCAAAAGGGTGTAGCTTGTCCCCTGCCATAATCTATATACACTGCTCAAAAAAAATTAAAGGAACACATTTTAATCAGAGTATAGCATCAAGTCAATTAAACTCCTGGGATATTGATCTGGTCAGTTATGTAGCAGAGGGGATTGTTAATCAGTTTCAGCTGCTTTGGTGTTAATGAAATTTACAACAGGTGCACTAGATAGGCAACAATGAGACAACCCCCAATACAGGAATGGTTTTACAGGTGGAGGCCACTGACATTTTTTTTCCCTGCTCATCTTTTCTGACTGTTTTTCACTAGTTTTGCATTTGGCTAGGGTCAGTGTCATGACTGGTAGCATGAGATGATAACCTGGAACCTACAGAGGTTGCACAGACAGTCCAACTCCTCCAGGATGGCACATCAATATGTGCATTGCCAGACGGTTTTCTGTGTACACAGCTGGACAGGGTCGTAGAAGGTCCTCAACCCATGAGCAAGACCGGTATCTGCTCCTTTGTGCAAGGAGAAACAGGATGAGCACTGCCAGAGCCCTACAAAATGATTTCCATCAGGCCACTGTTGTGAATGTGTCTGACCAAACAATCAGAAACAGACTTTATGAGGGTGGCCTGTGGGCCCTGTGCTCACTGCCCAGCACCATAGAGCTCGATTGGCATTAGCCGTTGAACACCAGAATTGGCAGGTCCACCACTGGCGCCCTGTGCTTTTCACAGATGAGAGCAGGTTCACCCTGAGCACATGTGACAGACGTGAAAGGGTCTGGAGAAGTCATGGAGAATGCTATGCTGCTTGTAACATCATTCAGCATGATCTTTTTGGTGGTGGGTCAGTGATGATCTGGGGAGGTATATCCATAGAGGGACTCACAGACCTCTACAGGCTAGACAATGGCATCCTGACTGCCATTAGGTATCGGGATGAAATCCTTGGACCCATTATCAGATCCTACTCTGGTGCAGTGGGTCTTGGGTTCCTCCTGGTGCATGATAATGCCCGGCCTCATGAGTATGCAGGCAGTTCCTGGAGGATGAAGGAATTGATATCACTGAATGGCCCCCACGCTCACCAGAGCTACATCCAATAGAACACCTCTGGGATATCATGTTTCGGTCCATCCGATGCTGCCAGGTTGCATCTTAGACTGTCTAAGAGCTCAGTGATGCCCTGGTCCATATATGAGAGGAAATACCAAAGGACACCATCCATCATCTCATTAGGAGCATGCCCTGATGTTGTCAGGCATGCATACAAGTACCATTTTGAGTTGCTGCAATAAAATTTCAGCAAATTGGACTAACCTTTTTGTACTTTGATTTTTGGGGTGTCTTTGAATTCAGTTCTCTGTAGGTTGATAATTTTCACTTCCAACAAATGATGGGGCATCCTTACGTTCTTAACCCATTACCCAGTCCATATCAGTATAGATATCCAGCATGATATTTTTTCCCATTAACCACTTGCCTACCAGGCACTTATACCCCCTTAGTTACCAGGCCAATTTTCAGCTTTCAGCGCTGCCGCACTTTGATTGACAATTGCACGGTCATGCAACATTGTACCCATATGAAATGTTGATAATTTTTTTCTCACAAATAGAGCTTTCTTTTGGTGGTATTTAATCGCCGCTGGGCGCTTTACTTTTTGCGCTATAAATTAAAAAAGTGCAAAAAAAAAAAAAAAAAAAAAATTTTTCTTTGTTTCTATTATAAAATTTTTCAAACGGGCATTTTTTCTCCTTCACTGATGTGCGTTGATGAGGCGGCACTGATGGGCACTGATAGGCAGCACTGATGGACACTGATAGGCAGCACTAAAGGGCACTGATAGGCAGTACTAGTGAGGTGGCACGGATAGGCGGCACTGATAGACAGCACTAATGAGGTGTCACAGATAGGCGGCACTAATATGCAGCACTGATAGGCGGCACTGATAGGTGACACTGATGATGGGTACTGATAGACGGCACTGACTGGCATCACTGCTGGGCACTGACTGGCGGCACTGACTGGCACAACCCCTGGGCACTGACTGGTGGCACTGACTGGCAGCACTGCTGGGCTGCACTGGTGGGTGGCACTGGTGGGCAGCACTGGTGGGTGGGCACAGGTGGGTGGCACTGGTGGGCACAGGTGGGTGGGCACAGGTGGGTGGCACTGCTGGGCACATGTAGGTGGCACTTCTGGGCACAGGTGTGTGACACTGCAGAGTGGCACAGGTGGGTGCACTGCTGGGCACAGGTGGGTGATCTGCTGGGCACAGGTGGGCGGAGCTAGTGGGCGCACTGCTGGGCACAGGTGGGCGGAACTTGCGGGTGGCACTGCTGGGCACTGATCATCAGTGCCCTGATGATCGGTGCCGATCCCCACTCTGACAACTGCCGGTTCTCGGCAGTACTTTCCTCACGATCTGACAGCGGGAGGAAAGTGCAGCCGAGAACCGGCACTTGCATTTCCCTCTGATCAGCGTGTCAATGGACACCGCTGATCACGTGGTAAAAGGCCGCTGTGATTGGCCTTTTACCACATCACGTGATCAGCTGTGTCCGTAGGACACAGCGATCACGGAGATCGCCGGGTGCGTGCCCCCTGGGCGCGTTCTGGTGGGACGTCATATGACGTCCACCCAGAACTGGCCGGCCGCAGTGCACACCTCCAAATACACACCTGTCTGGGCTGCACTGAAAGGGAGAGCAATGAACATGCAGCCTCCTACTCCTGAACCACATCAGGCAACATGCCTTTTAACAATGTAGGGGGACCTTACAAAGGGAGAGTGACAGTGATGTAGCTGCCCCCCCCCTTTCCCCTTGCAAAAGCACATTGTGTAAATGTTGAGGGACAAGGGCCTCTTTCTCACATCCCAGGTCCCCAAGAAAATGTATGGGGGTTTTGGATGGACTTATAGGAATCTGGAAGCCCCCTTTAGAATAAGTGGGCCACCACATATCCATCCACCCAGATGAATTAGTAAAGTGAACATTAGTAGTCAATATTCCTTATTTTAAAAAATATCATAAGTAAATAAAGACACAGGCACAGTGAACAAAATCTTAAATAAAAATCCCATAAAATGTTAACAATGTAAATCCAGAATCAATCTTCTTCTTTTCCCAAGCATTGTGCAGCATAAGTTGATGTCACCACTACTTTTTCAAGGTAATAACTAGTTTTCCTTAGACATTTGGTCCACACAAAATAATATTAATGTATGTCCTTTATGGCTGTTAAGAAATATATTTTGCTACGGACACAGCTGATCACGGAGATCGCCGGGTGCGCGCCCCCTGGGGAGCGCAGGAGAGCGCGTTCTGGGGGGACGTCATATGACGTCCACTCAGAACTGGCCGGCCGCAGTGAAGCCGTCATTCGGCTATCTGCGGTCAGCAGGTAGTTAAGGCCTGAGTGTTCCTTTAATTTTTTTGAGCAGTGTATAAATTACTGCGCTCAAAACATGGGAAAATCAACATAAGTGGGGAAAAAAAGTCCAACATACGAGTATAAATAGTCTCCAAATGAAAATTGATTCTTACACAACTTCCTCTTGGATAGTGTAGTCAGCTTTATGAAGAGTGTATACCACATCATTGTGTAAAAATGAAAATGTGCAAAATAACCTCTTCCTGTCACTGCTACAGGGCATCACAGGTGCGCAAAAGCACGTCTCTATATGTGATTTTGCATTTCTGGGTAGGAGGCGAGCGTGCGCCCTACCAACGCCGCTGTTCGAGGCCTTGGCTATCAATCACCAGGTCCCGGCCAGTGATCACTTGCTGGCACCCAGTGACCAAGGAGGATTACCAATGGAGGGAGAGAACTGTAAGTAAACAATACAGTTGTCTCCCGTCAGCTTCTGCATACTGCTATGCGTGGCTTTGCAAAGCAGAGCCACGCATAGCAGTGTGCTTACAGTGAAGCACACATACAGCCCCCAGTAAAACCGCACACAGTTAACTCTTTGATCGATCCACATGTTAACCCCTTCCTGCCCAGTGCCATTACTACAGTGTCGGTGCTTTTTATCAGCACTGATCACTGTATTGGTGTCACTGGGGATGTCAGTGACACCAAGTCAGTTATCCCCAGTGTCAGAATTCCCGCCGCAGTCCTGCTATAAGTCTCTGATAGCTGCCATTATTAGTAAAAATAAAATAATCCCAGTATATATACCGCCATTTGTAAACACTATAACTTTCATGTAAACCAACTAATTTACCAGTATAGGGACTTTTTTGTAGCAAAGACATATAGCAGAATACATTTTGGCCTAAATTTATGACGAAATTTGATTTTATACATTTTTTTACTGGACATGTTTAATAGCAAAAAGTCAGAAATATTGTTTTTTTTTCTCAAAATTGTCGGCCTTTTTTTTTTTTTCTTTTATAGCACATAAAATTAAAAAACACACAGGTGATCAAATACCAAGAAAGAAAGCTCTATTCCTGGGGAAAAAAGGACGTAAATTTTATTTGGGTACAGCAGTGCTTGATTGCGCAATTGTCAGTTAAAGTAACGCAGCGCCATAAACCAAAAAATGGCCTGGTCAGGAAGGGGGGTAAATCCTCTGGAGGGCAAGTGGAAAAACACACTTACCTGATTATTCTGACTTTGTTTTCAGGGAAGTAAAAACAAACTTGCATGAACAGAGAATTCCACTTGGTATATAATAACTTACCTCCTGTGTAGGTCTATTATCATTCCACATATTCAGACTCCACCAAAATTATAGAGAGAAAATCAGGGAAGTCACAAAGTGTGTACGCAATAGGCTGTTAATTAGAGTCCGAGAATAGAAGTGAGGTAATAATCCCAAATACTGTACGTTTAGAATAGGGGTTAGGGATTTTTTTCCCTTTTGGTGTGGGGGGAGGCAAAAATATTGTCTGGGTATGAGATGTAATGATTTATTTTTTTGTATGATGAAAAAAAAAAAAATAAATAAAAAGAATTCAGTTACATTTTCAGAACAAGCTTTTGGGGTATTCCCCCTTCTTTGGCGGTCCAAGCAGTACTGATACACAATTCAGGAAACCTTTGTCACGCATTAAAGGAAAAGTTCACCTTTCATAACATGTTACATGTTACACCCATATTCAGGTTTTAACATGTTATGAAAGGACTTGGCCCCACTACTCCCTGCTCCCTGCTCCCCCACTTTGACAGCTAGTGGAGGATCTTCTCCTCCCACTAGCTGTCAAAATTTTAAAGAAACGCAGTTGTGCAGGGCTCCGCCTACCTGGCCACATCACTATTTTACAGTATTGTGTGTATGAGAAAACTACAAGTTCTGATAGCCTTAATGGCTGTCAGCTTGTAGTCCTCAATGAACTACCATGGCGTTGTGAGTGCTGTGGTAGCTCATTGATCCTTTCTGTCAAAGTGTATCAGCTTGCTTGTACAGGATCTACAGGCAAGCAGATATACTGACAGGTCTGCAGGAGTCCTGCATGGCATCAGAAATCTGCTTAACAGGCCCCTGCAATAAAAAAAATAATAAATGCATATCTTTTTACCTGCAAAAAAAATGTGCATTTATTATTTTTTTGTCAAAAGGTGAACTTACCCTTTAAACTTAGTGTAAACTGACTTTGCTAGTAACAGATATATAGACATAAACATTACCAGGTTTATAAAGCCTCTAATAGTTCTTTTAATTATGTTCATGAGGTGAAAAAAAAATGTAAATCTTGTATATACAGACTTCACACAGATATAGGATTTTTTCTTTACTGATCATGTAACTCCTACTGGTGTACCATAGAACAATTTAGCTGTACATTTGACTCCCTATAGATTAAGTTTAAAATCTTCATTACATACATTGTCGTTCCCCTTCTATATACACAGTTGGAAAGCTAAAAGATTGTGGAGAATGCTGGTTAATGAGATTGAATTAATATACAAACATGTGGCGAGATTCAATGTCATTTTGAAAATTATGCCCCTTAGCAACACAAGTTAATATGCTTTGCATGCACATACTTAAGGAATGTGCATCCTAAAGTTTGCTTCCCATTACAGTGACTAGGCTTTTTACTAACCTACAAACTCTTACTACCTGCTAAGACTATAATACCCTGCATTTAAAATTTTTTTTTCTTCAGTAAATTAAACAAGTAAAGATGATAGCTTGTGCTTGAAAAATTAGTTGTAATGGTTTGCAATTTTTAGAGAAATAAAGATGACAGTAAAATGAGTACAAAATATACAGTATTTCTCAGATTTGTAATGTCCTCTACAGTCTTTGTCATGTAAGATTGCTTTATTATAATAAACTAATTTTTCAGCTCTTTTAGAGCTTCAGACTAAAATTTAGATTATACATATTAATACACTGGTAACCCTTCCGTGGCTCTCAAATTGCAGTAAAATGGTATTAAACCCAAGACCCAAAATGTAATATAATGCAGCTTACCAATCATCAGGATTTTTTTTTTTAAGGTTTAAAGAACCATTTTCCACAGATGCTAGTGAAGTCTTGTGGGCGTAACACAAAAGGTGTAGCTTAGGGCGAATAATTCATCACTCTAGGAAGTGTGATTTTGCAGAGAGCAAAATGAGCAGGGGATCTGCATTTATCCACGAAGAGAGACTGAATTACAATGGTTTAAAGTGTGCTTATTTCATACTGTACTGTGTGTGTATATGTATGTATATATATGTGTGTGTGTGTGTGTGTCTGTGTCTGTGTGTGTTTTTAATAATTTGTTTTTAATAAAAGTATAGCAGAAAACACTGACATTTCTTTACTAAAGCTGGTGCACAAGATTCTAAGTGAACCAGCTTTAGTAAATAAACCCCTATGACTAGTGGTGCCTGTAGTGGAAAAGAGAAGAATAGCGGAGGGCAGACATGACTAGGTGAAGAGGGGAAGGAAAGACAGGAATGAGTTTTAGAGAAAGGGGATGGTCGGCTTTTTGGGAAATGGTGGGGGGATCGGACGATCCAGTGCTGGAATTGCAGATGAAGATGAAACGTTGTGGCCCCCCTTTGTGCTTGAAGATGTCAGACCTGGACGGTTTGATGGCCTAGCTGCGGGAGGCAGCTGCTTCTAGGGGCACTGCTTGCCTGTAGGGTCAGGTCTCTGTGCTGCTGGGGGACCAGGGCTCGGGACTGGTAGAGGGGGGGAGGCAGTTCCCACGTGCTCGGAGGTCACGGCCTCTGGAGCATTATAGTCCGGAGCCCACCCCTGGAGTTTGTCACCAACATGGGAGTCCCATCAGGAACCCTTCGGGCCCATCAGCAGGGCACTCTCCTACCTCTGCTGGTGGTATGTCTGGGAGGAATCCCCATCTATGGTGGAGCTCGGCAGATGGGGGACCTCATGGCATTAGTCCCTCCCCCAGCCCGCTCATCAGACTGCTCGTGATGGCTCAGACTCTTCCCTGACGAGGTGCCTGTCAGGGAGGAAGTCTGGCGTGGGAGATGATCAGCTGCGGCTGCTGGGCTGTCGCCTCCCGTGGTCGGCAGCCCCTCTGGTGCAGCGGGATCTTCGGTTGGGCTGTATGTGAAGAAGAGCAGCGCTGGCAGGAGAACGGCTGGATGCTCTACTAATCGACAGTCCGGAACTATGGTGGGCGGGTCTGGTGCTGAGAGGCAGAGTCGTGCACAGCACAGACCCATAGGATCCAGGGCTCCTGGGTCTGGGAGGCCTCCTGTGCTGCAAGGAGCTATGGACCAATCCATGGGCGACCTGTCAGAATCCGAGGTGGCAGCTGTGATCGGCCGCTCGGCGGCGGTGGATTCCAGATCTGCGGCTGATGTACCTCTCCTGGGCAGCCTGGTGAGTTTGCTGTTCCATGTTAGTTGTTATCTTTGTCTTCTACTTTGCGGGATCTGTTGGGGGGTGGGGCTTTTTAGTTTCTGCGGCGTCCGTTCCGGATGTGGGTATGGCCTCTGCCTCCCAGGGGGCGGACATTGCTACCACCGCATTAGGCACAGATGTTGGCTTGCATATTTTTCTTTCTGGCTTGCGGGACATGCTGAGGTGGTTTGAGTGGGACAGTGGGGACCGTTCTGGCCCTGTTTCCTCATGGATCACTCCTAGTGGCGGGGATGCGGTTGGGGAGCCAGGATGTGGCCTCTCTGTGCCTAGAGGGTTGAGGGGGGTTTCTCCCTCGTGTGCTGGGTCGGGTTGGGTGTCTTCTCCTGTGGAGACTGGTGCTGCTGGGCCACCGGTGGGTTGCCAGTCCGCGATGTTAAGGGTTGGTGCTAGGCTTTTGGAGCCAGTCTGCCTGGCGGACTCTGCCAAGTGCGAGGTGTATTTTTGAGGGCCCGTTAGGTGCGTAATTGCAGCTGGATGTCTGTGAGAAGATTTGGAAAGGTGAGTATATAGAGATATTCACACTCCTGCCTCTAGAGAAATTCGACTTGGATGGGTCCAGGCTTGAGGATGGGGGGCGGGGAGGACGCGGAGAAGCAGCATTTTCGGTTCGTCCCACGCACCTTATTGAACTGGTTGCAGGCGTTTGCGATTATGATAAGAAGGTTCAGCTGCACTCCGGAGGATAAATGAATATAGTGTGTATTTATTAATCTATAGGACACACAATGGTTATGATTAACCATTTCAATACCGGGCGATTTTATACCTTCCTGCCCAGGCCATTTTTCACGTTTCAGCGCTCTCACACTTTGAATGACAATTGCGCGGTCATACAATATTGTACCCAAACTAAAATTTTATCATTTTCTTCACACAACTAGAGCTTTCTTTTGGTGGTATTTAATCACCGCTAGGTTTTTTATTTTTTGCTAAATTAACAAAAAAAGACTGAAAATTTTGAAAAAAAAAACACGTTTTTCTTTGTTTCTGTTATAAAAGTTTGTAAATAAATAAGTGTTCTTCATAAATTTAGGCCAAGATGTATTCTGCTACATGTCTTTGGTGAAAATAACCCAAATTAGGATGTATTATTTAGTTTGTAGGAAAGTTATAGAGTTCACAAACTATGGTATAGATTTGAAAATTGATCAATCCTGAAGTACTGACAGCCAATCTAATTTCTTGAGGTCCAAGAATGTCAGAACAGTACAGATATCCCCCAAATTACCCCTTTTTGAAAAGTAGACAGTCCAACATATTTCATGAGAGTCATGGCGCGTTTTTTGA